ATTTATATTTGAGTGGAAGTCATCAAATATGAATGCAATTAATAAAACGGCGATAGGGATAGCTGCCGGTGTTGCGGGCACAATCTTTATTGGTTATTGCATTTATTTCGACAGCAAAAGACGTGCGGACCCCGAATACAAAAAGAAAGTCCGTGAGCGTAAGTACTAAGTGTAAAGACAACGTGAAGATTGTGTAAATATATGTAGTGTAAAAGACGAAAACTATTTTAGGTCGCCGTCGTAACCGCAAAAATGGAACTGCCGGACGTAGTGGAATTCCAAATCTTAATGACCACGAAGCAATTGAGAGGTAAGGTTTATTAAGCCTTATTTATACTTATGTAATTTTGCAACGTGCTTTTCACATGCATAGCGATAATTCTAAACATGACTTCTTAATAGTGTAGAACTACAGAGTGTGGAATGTCTGCATGCAATGCGTCATTGGTTTATAACATACATTTTTTATATGCATACCTATGTTTATATGTGCCTTTCCTATACTAGATTTAAAATAAAACAAAATTTTGCTTTCAGATATTTCCTTCAGGAAATTCAATTGGGCGAAACTCTAATTGCGCGCGGTGAATTTGAGAATGGTGTGGAGCACCTTGCTAACGCTATAGTGGTGTGTGGACAACCAGCCCGCCTCCTGCAAGTACTACAGACTTCACTACCAGCACAAGTATTTGCAATGCTGATTCTTAAAATGCAAGAGTTCGGCAATCGTGCAAATGCTGAAATGAGCGATACACCTAAAATAGTTTCAGCTAACTCGATTGGAGGCGCTGATATTCCTGTTGGGCTTGAAGGTGCCCAATCTTCAATTCTTATTGATGACCTAGAATAGTTGTTGAATATCTGTTGTAATTTCAAGGAAATTTGCTAATATATAGATGTTCATTTATATGCGTATATTGTTTGCTTATGTACCTAGCTGGAGTGGATAATTATATATGCTTCTATGTACAAATACTTCTTAAACAATTAAAATAAATTTAAACTAAATCATATTGAATAGAACGATTTTTTCACGCCTTCGTCATGAAGAAATTCATGAAAGGTCCAATCGAGTATAAGAAATGTATGCAAATTGGCAATTTACGTTGAAATAAAATTGGAAGTTATTAAATGTTAAATAAACTAGAAAGTTGTCAATACCAATTAAATAAGAAATGTTTAATGGTTAAATTTATTTATTTCTTTTAAAGCTTTTTAACAGGTTTGTAATCTCTTGCTCCCTTTGTACAGCATTTTTTATTGAGTGCTGTATTTCCTTTACCGAAATTGGCACGCCACCACTTTTATGGAATAAACCTACTGTATCTTTATGTACACCCAAATGGAATACAGCGCTTGATATACTCTCCTCGCGATAAGTAGGATCTACCAGCACAACACTAAGAATATTTGT